TTATTTATTATAATTATAATTATTATTAATTATTATTAATTACTATTTATTAATTATTATTATTTTTATTATTTATTATTTATTATAAATAAAAATAATATTAAATAATAATAAAAAGTAATAGTAAAGTATCCGAAAAAAGTAAAATCCACAGTATAAAAATGTGACAGTTTAATTCTAAGAAACTGGCAATAAAAAAACAACACTGCTCCTTGCAGACATGGAGCAAAGAATGACTTCGATTATTTGAACAATAAATCTATCGTAATTCATATTTCGAAGCCACTTCAATCTCTCTTTCACAGGTCCAATTACAAATCTTCAGTTCCAGCATCACAATATGTTCGATGACCTCTATAAAAACTTCTTAACTATCTCATCAAGATACTATCTTAGGTGCTTAGGCAAATGAGGTGCTGTCTCTACAACTCATAATATGTCTTCCAACTTCACCAGATTTACTTGTAACCTCAAAGACCACTATTTGAGGCACAGTTGATTTCTAGCTGAGGCATTTGATTTACTAAAAAAATGAAAGCAGAAATTCAAAGTGGGGAAATTAGAACTAAAAAAACTGTGCAAACAGTCTAGTCTTCGTAGCACAGAAGTAGCGAAAACATTATGGTTAGGAGAAGAGGATGCCTTATTGAAGCTCGGTAGGTTAAATGATTGTGGATTTGGATAAAATCAAACTGTTCTAGCTAGAACATAAACTCTTTAATTTGGATAAAATCAAACTGTTCTAGCTAGAACATAAGCTCTTTCGCGTATCTGTCTGATGGCATTTGTTTACAAATTGACAACTGTAATTCATTCCTTCCAGAAACAATCACTGTTCTCTCGAGATAATAAATCTTACACCAATACTGGTGTGGTGATTCACAATAAAAAATATATCAGCTTTTTCATGAAACTTATAATCATTTATTTAATACTCACTCCATAAGCGGAACAGTAAGAGTGTGGGACATAATAATAACCGATGGAAATTTAAGAATCTATAGATGCCTTAAACATTAAATGAATAACTATATAAACTTTTCGTCAATGGCCTAAATCAAAATTCTAATTAACTCTGACATAATTTTAGTAATCTTCCCTGTAACAGGTTACCTCTGCAATGTACGACTGGTATTTTGCAGTGAATAAACTTCTGCAAGGAAGCATTCTCACTGATAGCATATAGTGAGGAGGTGGTCCAGCAAAAGCTGAACTACTAACTTTTGTTTTTAATCTTTGAGTTTTAGAAACCTAAGAGCAAAGTGACTTGAGAAATGAAGCTCGCGATTAGCTCCATTGCGAATGGATTACTACTCGCGATTAGCTTTGCTGTGAGTGGATTGCTTGGTGAGCGAGAGAAAAAGTATGCTGTTGTTAGAAGTTTAACTATGATTTCAGAAATGAATGTTCTTTCCTGTTTATAATCTCCGATGAATTAAAAATCATTATTTACCTTTAGTGATACGATGAAAACCTTTTACTAATGAATATTATTAATAATAATAACTGCATTTCTAGCTCGTACTAGAATGGAAATAGCTGAAGGAAGTGAATGAATGTTATATAGTGGCGGTACTAATACTGATGTAAATGTTAGAGTTCTTATGGGGCGTCGTTGTTGGCGCAGTTTTAATACTTTTCGTCATTTATGTGTTGCTATTCAATCCTTTTGGTGAAATTTCTCCACATGGTGTATTTGTTGACCAGTTTCAGCCACTTCGCATTCCTGAGGTAATTTTATTCTTTTTCAGTTCTTCGAGATTGCTTTTCTTTAATTAAGAAAGTGATTTTTAGGAACTAAGGCAGTTTCTGAAGGAAGGAGATAATGAAGGCCGAGTTTTTCAGTGGGAATCATGTTTCAATCTGAGTCTTATTCTTCATTTTCTGTTTCAAGAACACAAAGATACTCGTCGATTACGGAGGTACTTTAATAAATTCCGTATGGGCATAGTTGATCATATTTGGCTCTCAAAATAGCATAGTTAAAAAAACATAATCACATGTTTTTTTAGATGGATCCACAAAAAGATGCAGTTGGAACTTAGTGATCTAACCACTCGAAATACTGCTGGCCGTCTCATACAGGTCCATTTCAACTCTGCAAGACTTTTAAAAGAATACAGTTACACCAGATTTGTCTGTTGTTGTTTATTGCTGTCTTTTTTCCTTCTTCGCAGTTCTCGATGGTCAAAGAAATCACTTTCTTATGTCAAAAAAAATTTCGAAACTTTCAAATGAAAGTATAATCTAAAAAACTAAGTTTAGGTTTACACTGAAGAAATACTAAAATGGTTGCTGTGAAATATGAGCTAGATGAACCTTTCATGCAATTGAAGCTTACTCTCTGTAAAACATTTTTCTTCTTAGAATATTTCTATTCTAGGACATTCGTATTAGAGACCTATCGATTGGCTCCCAATCTCCAGTGATCAAATCAATACGTGTGGAGGACTATGAGCTCCTACAAGATGAGAATTTCAAAGTAACACTTCATTATTATATTTTGTGCCACATATACCGGGAAAAGCAGTTAAATACAAAATAAGCCGACGCATATGTTTATTTGAATACCGAGCTGATATCGTATATTCGTGTATTAGGCATTTAAGATATTAAGGTTAGATTATTCTCAGTCCTGAAATCATTTGTCGAGTTTCTTAAGTTAAAATATATTGAAAAAAAATTTTTTCAGACACTAAAACTGCTTGTTGATATAGATTACAGCGGAGGTTTTCAATGTTCTGTTGATGTTATTATGCTGTTTGGGCGATTTACACAGCTGTCGATTAAGGTTTTCATTTTATTTAATCGATTTGGTTTCAGGAAATGTTTCACAGTAATTTGGGTGTTGACAGCAGGATTCATTCGTATTTCTTACATCAATCATATTAGGCACTGTGCATCCATCTGTAACCTTTAATTTATTCATTGCATTCAGCTTACTCGTCTTTCTGGCAAAATCCGATTGAAACTGACTCGCGAGCCTTTTACTCATTGGGTCTTTGCATTCGTTGATATGCCGACGCTTGAATTCCAAGTAGGGTTTATTTAGATTGATATTTTTATGACAACAATATTCTATATATTTTGCAATAGAATGTTTTATAGTTTTGTTTTTCGTGTGTAATGATGATAATACACAAAATTGTATAGGAGAAATGACAAATCGTTGCATCGTCGAAACAGAGTGCATTTTCAGATTGACTCACAGTGGCAAGGCAAACAAGTGAAACATCTTATACCTTTCATAACACAGAAATTTAGACGTATGATTCAACGCAAGCATGTCTGGCCAAACTACAAGATTCGATATCGTCCTCTCTTTCCTAATCCCTTATATCAACCTTCCCCATCTATAAGTAACTTATATGTATTCATTAATTTTCAAATGTAAATATTACAATAATGCTTAATTTTATTCGATTTATTCAGATTCTAAAAAAATGCGATCACAGCATTTCTCTACTGTGTAAGGTAAGTGGTAACAATTAGGCAGAATCTAAAAATTTGGAATATATTCTCCAAAAATACATGTGGAAACTTTTGAGCTAATCTAATTAAATATTGTTTTAAAGGAACAATTTAACAGAACGGTTTTGGGAGTTGAATTAACTGATGTATGCTCATCATGAAGTGTTTGTAAAGATTGCCATTGTTTTCTCAGTAGCAATATTTTTTTGCAATAATACTGAACAAATATTTCCGTCGAAAAATAATGTTTCAGGTGCTTTCGAGTATATTAAAACAACGGGTTTATTGGAAGTTACGGTTTTACGATGTACGAGATTGAATACTGCATTGGTCAGCGATGAAAACTCCGAGGTCTTTTGTGTTGTATCTGTAGGTAAATGATTTATTTATTTGGTTTTTTCCTTACCCGTCTTTGGTTACTAATAAAATACAAAGGTTTGTTAATAGATTCACATTCCTAATTATGAAAGGTTTGAATTTTTTGGTGATCCAAGAAAAGTAAAATATGCCAACTATTAGGAAAAAAAGCTTAAATCCGATATGATGTATGGTTATTAAATAGATCGTCGACCGATAATGCAGGATGCAGGCAGAAATTCAACACGATGCATCACCGTATTATTAAATTTTAGTCGGCACAGTATCAGTGAATCAATTGGATTGACATTTTCCAAAGTAAATTCATTCTAAAAGTTCCTATTTTATATATTTCTCTTAGTTTTTAGGTAGAAAGGAAATCGTAACTTTTTGTAATTTCCAAATCCTAGAATATGGTATTATATCAGGTATTATATTATATTTAATGATATTGTTATTAAAGTACTGATTATTTAGTTCGCAGTATGTCTTCCCATGGCATTCTTTTCGGCATGTCTTCTTGTTCAAAAAATAATCTCCATTTTCTTTTTTCTTATTGCGCTCATTATTTTCAACGAAGAATCGTATCGAAGATTAGTCCTATGGTGTTTAACTTCTTGTCTGTACCATTTTTCACTTTTTTCCATCACAGATGAATCATTTCACTCTTCTCTGTTTAGGCACATAGCTATGTTGCCTTTCATGTCAATCCTTACGATATATCGTTTACATATCCAGCGTATAACATAATGTTGCACACAATCTATTCTGTACAGTTTTTCATACTCAGAAACTCGACTTTTTTTTCACAGTTGTGTTCGAAATTTTGTCGCATTAAGGTGCTAGTAACAGCACATATATGACCGGTAATGTCGACTTGTTGGAACTTGTCAAGGCCAAATGTTGTTTGCTACACCAGCTTTAACTTGTTAGATTATTCCAACTGTATTTTTGTGTGTATAAAAAAGTCCATAGCGAGGAAGCGTAATGCAGACAATTCCCGCTACTGCGCTAAAATGAAGTAACAGTGCACGTGTAGACAGAAATTTCGGCTTCCTTAATAAATTATCAAGACTAGTAGTTCTCGCTGGTAAAGCTAGCTCGTCGTAGCGCTTCTCAGTGAGATTGAAGTAATTTATTGGGGAGATTGATAGCAGTGATGATATTGTGGGTGCAGTCAATTGAATATATCATAATTCAATTTCTGTTTCTCTGTGTAACGCTTACCGAGCTTTGTAGTAGTTATTAAAAACAAAGCTGATAGTCATTCTATAATCGTCGTAGTTTTTGAATAGCCGAATACTCTCGTTTACTTGGTTAATTGTCACAAAATACTACCTGAAACAATCTTGGACACTCTTTCATATGGAGTATTTTCGTATTCATGCAGCCGCATCATGCTCTTCTGCTACGCTAAATTTTTGTTAACTTTCCTAAATTTGTTATTAGAATGCAATCATCCTTACAAACATTTCCAAATATTCCCCATTCCCCGGTACGACATTATATTGGGAGCTACAGTGACGTTTTGTCTCTTGAAAACTTTTTTGGTATGCTTCGAATAATTCTGTATTCGATGCGATGTTTCTTTTACATAATGCATTCCTCCTCTTGTTTCTGTTTATCGTCCTAATGTTGGATGAGTTTTTCAGCTCATTTCCAACGCAGGAGTTAGATCCGTGCAAGTTTCAACTGTGGAAAGCTTTTCTTCTGCTGAAAGATGTGGTTTTAAAGCAGGTACAGTATTAATTCCTTTCACAAAATTGTGTTGTGTTTCATTCCTTATGATGTATAATGTATTAATTTAAGGTGATGTGGTCCTTGCTGTAAATAACGTTCCTATTACGAGTGAACGTCAGCTGAACAAGCTACTTTCCGGTACTTCGAGTGAACTAAATGTTCTAGTTGATCGAATGATTTATGAAAAAGGCAACACGTCACTCAGTACGTTAAATAATGACGGTCGATCTTTTTCTATTATGGTAGTTCTGTTATTAGGAAGAGCTGTGTATTTATGAGATGTTTGCCATGAGATGCTTTCATTTTACATTTAAGTTCTCTCTGAATTATTGTGTTTCTTAACAGTGAAAAAATCTTTTTTCAAATACTTTACCAGAGAATAAAAAAAATTAGCAGAAAATCCACAAAAACCTTTCCTTGGTATTCAACAATTTTTTATGACTGATCATAGGAAATTGTTCTTTGAAAATTTAAAAACAAATAAAAATTGACAAGTGCTGTTTGTTCTCATATCTTCATTCATGAGGAGTTTAACTGTTAAGTTTTAGGAGATGACTCAGCTTCTCTTGGTGATTTCGACGAGATCAGTGTCTCTGAAATCTTTGAAAATGTGGAAAATAGAAGTAGGCAAGTGAAAGTGTTAGAGAAAGGTACTGTTGTTGGGAATTTCCAGCTACAAATTTCTTTGCTGTGTTCTAGGTCAACATTGAAAATTTCTTAATGCAAACTGCTTTTAGATAGCCGGCGACGTAGTCGGAGTGCAACAGCAGTCAGCTCAAATATAACTTCAAACGACTTTGCAGTCAACGTTTTAAAAATTAAGAGAATGTTCGCTTTATACACAGATGGCAAGTTTGTCGACTTTTCTAAAGTATCGAAACCTTCTGATCTGATGAAGATGGCAGAGACTGAAACTGACCGTGACTGTGTTGTAAGGAAACGTGCCCGTTTTAGGCGTGCAAGGTAAGTAAAACCGCTTTGATTATGCAAAGCTCTTATCTTGGAACGGTGGCAGACTGTGGCTTTCACATATAGATTGTACTATAAATACACGAGTAAATATGATATTGGCGTTTTAGAGTACTCGTATTTTGTTTTTTTTTTTTCCCTATTAATTTGTGATGCATGTTTGAAGATCTGAAGCTGAAATAACAGAAACTGATTATCCTGACAGAGAAAAGCTGAAGCCATTATCCACCTCCAGTCTTGAAAACTTGTCTTACTATGCACATAAGGTACCAAACTCATTCGAGAATTAATGATAGGTCTTTAATAAGTTTATCAGAAGTTTATTTTATTCGAAATTTGTATTTAACTTTTAAAAGAATTCCTAATTTGATAGTCAGCCTAGTGGAAGAATTCAGTGTGATGATTAGTGTTGTAGAAAATAAGAAATATATGTGAGGATGACGTATGTTTTCACTAATCATTCCTTGTATTGAATTCTACTTATAAGTGTCAGGGTGCTAAAACAACGCTGGCGAATATGACGGAAGATTGCGTTATGATAAGCAAAGAGAAAGATGGTAGTGTTGGCAGTTTGAATGCTGATATTTCTGCTGAAAATAGCGCAAAAGATTTTCAGCGAAGTCCTTCTCGACGAAAACGATTTCAGGTAATGTTGGGTTACGAATTCTTGGAAAATGCTGTGTTAATTATTTGTGGAATTTTAGGCTCGCGTAGCAGAAATGGCGGCAGCAGGGAAAGCTAGAATGTCTGACTTTTGGTATCGACATAAGGATGGTGGTTCTGGTGCTGAAGGTGTAGTGGATGATGCATTATTATCACAGCATGGTATTGGCATGGTAAATTTCATCTCAGTTAGTTAGGGGCATTTTGTATGCGAACACATCTTTTCTCTGATTTTGGTGAACATAACGAAAGATGATTGTAGTATCGACTGAACAATGCATGCTTATACAAGGTATTCGTTTCGAAATATTTAACCATACTGAGGATACACTCTTGTTTATTAGAAGACTAAGGGCGAATAGCAAGGTACTGCGCGATTAATGTGCAGCAACTAAAGTGTCACGTAGTCACGAGTGGCCTCAATTAATTAGTTGTGTTTGCTTGCGTCTACTGTCACCCGGACGTGTTCTGCAGTTCTTGGCGATCCATATTTTATAAACTGCAAAAGATAGTTATGGAAAAGATGTTTATGAAAGATTATTTTTTTAGATGCTTCCACGTACTTCACCGCCCATATCAGGTTTAGAGAGGAGAAAAAGAAGTCCTCTCCTTAAAAAAAAAAGGTAAGCGGAATTGAACAATTCTCTTTCATGTAGCTTTAATAATTATTACAGTTTTTGCTCGAAGTCCAACCGTCATATTTTCAGGTCAATTCCCACGCAAAATAACGGACGTGGTGATGCTTGTGATTTTGGAGGAACTCCAAAAACACTAACTACAAAATCACTTGAGACGAGCGAAGTTCGTTTTTAATTGGAAATATTTTTCATAAAAATTGTACAGTTCTTCGATCTTCTAGAGGCATAGGACTTTATATTACACATTTTATGTTTCAATTTGCTGCTCTTTTCAATATACTTGCAGAGTTCAATATACTTGCAGAGTAGGCTGTTTTTACTGTTTATTAGTAGTGAACGTGGCCTAATTACTTGAAATTGTAATATATATGTTTTATCTTACTCCTGCTTTTTCTATTTGTTGTCCTTCTTATACCGTGGTAAAGATCGAAGTATATAATTAGTCTTGTTCTTAAAAGATTTGTTCGTGAGGGATTTTTGTTAACTTTTCTCTATAGCAAGTGTTCCATACTGTTTTAAGGAAAGCTATTTCATTTGTGACATGAGCTGCCTGATTTCTTCGTGTAATGTTTTTGTATATACTAATCATAGCTCATTTTTGGTATACATATATTCATCTTATATGGAGGCTCACTTTGTGGACTATGAAACCATTCCGTTCTGCCCTACTTGCAAATTGTGCTGCAAGTGGTTTAGCGTTTGTTTTCTCCATATTTTCGTTAGGAATAGCGGTCGTTTAAATCACGAAATTTTTTTGTTTAAAACTTTGAAAAATGGTCTGAATAGATATTCTGTAATCACACTTAAGTTTTAAAAAAATACGAATGTATAATTACTTAAAGCTCATTTTTTTGGTTGGATACAATGGAATCTTCTAAGTTGACATCGTAAACCTCATCAACAGTATTTGTAGTAATTATTTGCAGGAAGGTTGACTGAGTAGTGATAGTATTGAATGAGCTTCTTTCTCCAAAAAACTGTGAAATAGATGTCATAAAGGAAATGGATGGGTACTATTAAAATTATCATAGAAACTTCAATCATTCCTTTCTGTGATAATTTTGATAGTATCCAACCATTTCCTGGGAAATATTTTACATGTTAGGTGACGAAACGAGGTCATTTGCATGGCTGGCTACCGACTAACGAGAATTAAGCGGAATATAGGATCGTGGTTTTTTGACAGCAATTCTATCGCTATTAGGTGTACGTTGCTCCAAATAATAGAATAGTCTTACTGGTTTTGTTGATAATCGTTTAGTAATGGTATTTCTTTACAGGATGTCCTTTGGAACCAGTCTCTGCATTTTGAACTCAATGAGGATACCTGCAAATATTTAAACGTGATTGTGCGAGCAAAACCATTGACTATTAAAACAACAAATGTCACCATTTCACAAGACAGTCAAGTTGAAAAGGACAGTTCTCAAATGCTGGGATATGTTCGTTTTTAAATAGGATTGAAAATCATCAGCAGAATCTCGGAGAATTTCTAATTAACAAATGTATAGTTGCATTTAATTGCAGGCAAGTATTTACATACCGCAGGTATTAGACGACTGTCAGTTAACTCTGTCCAATAGTCATCAAGAATTGTTCATTTTGCAACCGCCACTTTGGACTGCAGCAAGGTGATTTTAAATATTTTAATATTTCATTTGGATTCAATTGTAGCAGTAATAAATAACAGTTTTAAGAAAAAAAGCTGTAAAAGACGACAACATTTGTTTTTTTAAGACGGCCATTAACACGAAAAGCTGCTGAAGAAAGTCGTCGAGCTGGTTTTGATGAGCGCCTCTGTTATGGGGACATTGTCCTGGGCTTTCGTTATTTCCCTTCAGGCCTTCCAGCAGATGTTCAGAACAGATCGAAGTGCTTTTTAATTACTTTTGATTCTTCGCAAAATTTATATTTTTATCCAGTAGAAAGAATTTTAGAGCTTTTACTGATGGGTGCCTTCTCAGTTTTGCTTGTGCAAGTATGAGTTATTGTCGAAGAATTTAGTCTGAAATATCTTTCAAACGAGGTGTCTTGTTAGCCGCAGATATTTGAGAGAGGAATTATGAAAATTTCTTTAATTTCATAACTTGTGATGAATATTCAAACTTTTTTAGTGTGGAGAACGCTGGATGTGTCACACAAACTAGTAGAAGGGATAGTTCTGAAACATCATCGGAAACTAGGCACAATTTCGAAACAATATTGTTGAGAGGTTTGTCTTTCATAACCTATTTTCAAAAACAGAGCCTTTCTGTTTCACTTTCGCTTATTTTTGCAGGTACAACTATCTGTTCAGTTTGTCAAGGAAAAGTTTGGCTAAAAATGGCTTCGCACTGTACAGGCTGTTTGCTAATATGTCATAACAAATGCTTACCTAAGGTTGAGACTTCCTGTTCTCAGCATCCTCCCATCGACGATTCAGTATATGAGGTTAGCGTTTTATTAGGGCGCTGTTAAGAAAACAGCATTAAATAGATGCTGCTTCTATAGGGCAGCACTGAATGAACGTTGGACACACCTTGAAGTTGATGTCAGGAAAACCGAAATCGAATTTTTTTCCAGTGCATCTGCACATAATAAACTTCCTATGTCCCATTTTGGAAACAAGTTACATTCGGATTTGTTTACGCAGCAAAGATAAAGAATTGGCTAAGTGAACAGGATAGTTGGTAAGGGTCTGATCAAATATAGGTATCAACTTCCGTAGCAATGACAAGGAATGGTGGAGAAAAGGAGAAAAAAAAAATATGTAAGGAACCGTAATCCACATTCAAAGAGGATTAGTTAACTCATTTATTTATTCGTACTTACCGGTCGTAGCAACATGGACCAGGAATCCATTTAGTAAGAAGAGATCAGCGGAGGAAAGAATCGAACAGTTATTTAGGAAAGGACAAGATGAAGTTCTTAACAGCAGGACAGGAGCTACAACTCAACAGATTAGTGAATTAGTCAAGTAGACTGGCGAAATTCAATAGTTGAACCAACCAGTCTATAAATATATTTTCTATACAATATTTACTTTGCATGTTGACACTTCTTTCAGTACTTTTTTCTTTCACATGCTATTTATTCATTATTTTCGGTTTTGGACGGATTGCATATAGATTCAAATGAAGGATCCAACTTGCTGGACGATGTTGTGAAGACTGATCACATGGCAACAGAGCTCAGTTTGTTCTCATCAAGTTATTTTTTTCTTGTATCGTACTTTTTTCTCTTCTTTACAAAGAAATTTAATAATTTAGGGCTGATGGTTGCTTTGGTTTCTTGTCAAGTCAACTCTTCAGTTTTTGCCTAGCTTTTTTGCTTAGCTGGGGAATATAATTGTGGCATCTGTTTTCTATCATTTTTTAATGTACTTCGATTAACAAGAAAAGTTGTAGTTTTTACATTACCCATGACAATGATTAGTACATGACAAAGAGGATTCGGTCAAAAATTTCGTGAAAGTAGAATTAATGGTAATCGATATCCCTTCAAGTGTTTGAAAATATAAATTCATGTAAGAAATGAGTACATCTGCTTGCAACGCCAATAACTATCGAATTAACCCCAATTTACTCTTGTTAAAATCCGAATTAACAACTTCTGAGCTATAATTTAAAAATTTTTTAGTACATGCTTTTATTAAAATATTTGATAGAATCTGAAGAGCGACTACTGTCTCGGCGTCGTCGTATTGCAGTTAAAGTATCTGAAAGGCTTAGTTCTACATGGAAAAGTGTCGGACGTAAGAGAGCATCTTTTCATCCATTAAAGGAAACGGATGGAACGATTGGTTAGTAATTACACTCAATATCGAGGGATAATTTTTGTCTTAATCCTTATTTTAACTTTATCTGAAGCTACAAATTTCAGAGCAGAAAATCCCAATTATTCAAATCGGGACCGATGAGGTAGTACCAGTTGAGGTGAGCTTTAAACAAACTGTAAAGATAGAATCAGCATATCTCTATGATAGTTGCTCTGAGAGTCTGACATAGTAATTGAGCTGGTTTCAAACTAAGCATACATTTTCAAAAATATGAAACCCTTGAAGCATTACTTAACTTGATAGTTTTATTTAGAGAGCAATACCGGACGTCTTTTCGATGTTGAAACTTTCGGAAAATTTATATCAAATGATGTACCAGCCAGGTAATGCATATAATGAACAGATCATAAATGCTGCTAAGGTAGCTGGTAAACACATGTTCTCTAATCTGGACCCTATCAAAAGGAAAGCGAAAATAAATGAAGATGCAAGTTCTTTCTGACAATCACACTCTTTAACTGCTTAAAAAGTTCGTAAAATATCGTGGAAAGTGTGCATTGTTTATAAAGTTACAAATCATTTTTGACAATATTTTCTTCATTGATTGAATTACAGATTGACATTTCATATATTCATAATAATCACTAAGTTATGCACAACCGCTGAGCTAATTGTTATTCTATGATTAACATCAAATGGTACCGCTTGCTGGTTCATTTGTGTTTCTTACAAAATTTTAATTTAACTTATAGATGGAAAAAATTCGAAGTATTATCCACCAGACAACTATTGAACGCTTGAATGTAATGAAAAATATGAAAGACATCCAAAGCTCTGGTTCTCTCAATTTTGCAGTGTTGGAGGACAGGCTGCAAGCCCTTGCGGTCCTCATGCTACATTACTGTGCAGCTTTACAGGTATTCTTCTATATCTATTAATTTAAAATAATTCTTTAGTGTTATATGTTTTTCATTTCCAAGAACAGAATTTCAGAATTGTATTGATCTAGAAGAGAGCTGTGAGTGTCAGTATCAAAGTAAAGATATAATCGTTGCTGCACAAGATAGTCGAAACACCAATTCTATCCCCAGAAGTGAGGAATCAGGAGGCGTTTCCGGCGAATTTGTCGCTGATTCCTGTAGTAAATTCTAGAATTTTTTCTAAAGTGTTCATTCATTCAGGGCTGTTTCAGCTTTTTCGATGTGGATCAAAAAAATTTAAAGTTAGTGTTCTTGAAGAAAATTTTTGTTTCCAATAAGTAGTATTTTGTCAGTAGATGTAAATTAAATATTGTGAATTGCCTTTTTTTAAATGCTGTACAGAGTTTTTTCAACACATTTTAGCTTTTTGAATCCGTTTTTTAAATAAGCCACTACTAGGGATATTTTTTTCACTTCCATGTACTTGCCTCTTCACAAAATATTGGTTATTTCAGACCATATATTATTGCCAAATTTTTCGTGAACATTTAAACCCACAAATAATCATCCTGAGACCTCTGATAGATCTCTATAATACGGATAATTTTGCTATGTTGCTGTATTGTAACCTTGTTAATACTAATTTTCCAAAATTGTCGTTGTTTTAAACATCGCGTAGCTAGACTTTGGGTAGATTCATAAAGTACAACTTGTAAATGCACACGATAGCACTAGAGTGAATGAACAGAGCATTACGGAACAAAATCCATTCCCTGAACCTCTTAGAACGAAATATGGAAAGCTCTGGTCTTGACAATTTTTTACTTTTATTCTGAAATGAAGTTAAAAATTGTGGGTGGTCATCAAGAAGACAAATTCAAAAACTGTCCTGATATTTTTTTTTGATTCTGTTAAGGTTCCTCGATTTGAGAGCTTTCCCTTTCTCCATTACTTCCCCTTTTTTCACTCTCATTTTTTCTATATGAAAAATGTTTTTCTACGATATGGTTCATTTTCGGATAACCTCCTTCGATTTAGTTTTCATGCTGATGAACTTTAATCTTTATCTTCTTTTGCTCTGCTTTGTGCCTAAATGTGCATTACTCTGATTCCAAATGCAGTAAAATCTTTTTCGTATAATTTTCGAAAAATTGATAAAGGAAGCAAATTTAATACATATATGCAATAAAGCATATATGTATTAAAATTTGTCCCGGCTCTGCTCAAACAAGACTTATTCGACACTGACTATACTTTTTAATATGCTTACCGAAACTTTTATGGATTTTACTCCATAAAAGTTTTTTTATGACGTTTACTGATTTTAACATACTTATCGAAGCTTTTATGGGACATGGTATGTAGTGGCTTGTTTCTGAGTACTATATTTAGCTCCTGTTTTTTGCTCCCCATATAATCTTTAATATCAATTTTAGGCAAACTGCTTAAACCTCGGATCATGTATCTTGTGCTTTGTGATATGTTTTTATAAATGGAAATGATTATTTCGAGGGTCAGTTGAGAATATTGAAGTACAAATGAATCATGTGGCAATTGTAGGATAACTTTCAGATCGGATGTCATCAGCTTGAAAAACAGTTCAAATTGAGAGATATCATTCCCACCATTTCCCAAAATTAGCTGCAAGTGGCGGTATTTCGCTATTAGTGACATGTCCAAGTGTTAGTAGCAATGTTGTTAGCTTATAGATGAATGACATATTCTTCAGTGGCGTATATGATGATGATGCATGCCGTCAGATGGTCGCAAAACAATTTGCATCCCTTATTGTTATTTGAAATGTACTCCTTTCTGTTCAACTTCTCTCACCAAAAACAATATCCTGTATATCACAAATGGACATGATAGCAAGCAAGGAAGCCATGAACACATATACTTTATTATTAAATTAATATTTTATCAATTGGTGCACACATTATTTACCATTCTAGCATTCTTCTGCCTACATCATGGTAAGCATGCATGTACAATAAGATAATTGGAAACAAAATTCTATATTTCAAGAAATTTGTTGACAGTTTTGTTTCCAGTTATCTTATTGAATATTCGAGTGCTTAAACTCTAAATGTTTTATCGCTTCTCGATATGTTCATTAACTCCGTAGAGCGATTTGGAGCACTTCTTGCTTAGCTTTCTAAAATTTACTGCTCAAAATTACTTTTGTTAATAAAACTTACTATATACCTAATAATCTTTTAGTATATTGGGAGTAAGAATCAAGGAAACTTAATTTCAAAAAACAAGTAAGGTTGTCCGATTGTCCAATGCACCTTCAGAATAGTGGACTAATGATGGTATGATATATCTTTAATCCAACTAGCAGAGCAGCCTATTATAAAAAAGGTTACATACTTCCAACTTTGCGGTTAATGGCATCAACAGAGTCTCGAATCCTAGATGGAATTGTTTCTTTTTTCCTCAATTGCTGCAAACGTTCTGCATTTACTGCTCGAAACACTGCATAAAAAGATCTTAATTTTTGGTTTATAAGAGCTTAATACATTACAATACCTATTTAACAATACCCTGCTATAGTCCAAGTAGTAAAGGTCAGGCAGGTGTCACTGTTATTACACTCCTCATAAGTGTAAGTATTTTGATATCCTCATAAAAGTGTTTTTTTAGCTTATTCGGGATTTCTTTCAAATCTTTTTCTAAACACATTATGTCAATTCTAACCAAGCGAAAATAACATGGCTTTTTGGAGCAAAGTGTTGCAATCCATTTATACTTTAACTTACAAACTTACAAGCAAGAGATTGATTAGCTCAACTTTAACACAATCATATTCATATCGTTGTCCGGTGTATGGTTTTAAACAGAAAGAAGAAAAATACTTCTTGCTAACTGTAAAATGTTTTGTTGACCTTAACAATCCATGCTTGTCAAATTATTTGCTTATCATGAACCAGTTATTCAATGCTCTGCGGAAATCCTTTTATTATTATCAAGAAGATTTTTCTTATCTTTTCTACCCTGCAAAACTTTTATTACTCGAAAATAATTTCAGCTATATATTACCATATAGTGTGTAACCTGTCCGATCCTTTTGTTGCTCAAATTGTACAATTGGAGGTCACTCACATTAAATCCTTACTATCCCCTCAATGACAAATTATTTTTCTTTAACAGAAATAATTATTTTTATTTTCAACGTTTCGACATCTAAACTGTTTTTTAACGGAATTTTACTTTCGAAACGTTCTGTTTCAAAATTTCCTCTTACGTGCGCGAAATGGGCTTCTGTGTTGCGAAGTATAGATCCATTATCGGAAACGATAAAATATATCGAAAGTCTGAAATTCGATTACTTTATGACACCAAAGTAATATTTCATGAAGTTTTTTGACGCTTCAGTGATAATATGGGATTTCGGGTGACTGACTGATCTATTCTGCTGATATTGCTGCTATTCAAGGTGATGTTATCATCAGATAAGTCTAGCTGCCGATGGCGAATAGGAAGATAATCTCTCGTTTCTTGCTGCAATCTTCTAACTTAAGGATGAGATTATGTTGTTCCCGTCCGGACGTGATCGGTTTATTTTACCACTGACTGACTTCTGAATTTCGATAGAGTAATTCTGAACGATTAAGTTTGATCAATAAAAGCTTCTTCACATGTTTATGGAATCTCTCTGGTTTTCAAATGAAAATATCAACACGGAAATAACTGCTATTCTGGCTGCCCGCGAAAGCTAAGTGCATTTGATTCTAAAAAAAATTGAGAGCGTATAAACAAGGCTGAGAGTGCATAAGCAAGTTGTTAATAATGATAAGTTTTTGCCCTAAGCAAAAGACCCAAACTTAGTAGAAATTCCCAAGCACATTTTCTAATCCCCCATAGTTTGCACATCTTTTGCAATACTTCATAACGAGAAATAATTTACTGAGCGAAACTTGTGTGATACCGATGGAGACTTATGCAACGGCAGAACACTACTGTTGTGCAACAGACCTGTTTAAAAACTTAGAACAACAATTGTAAGCGATGCCAGACTCCTTTGACTGCATATTTCGAATATTGAAGTCATCTCAACTACATGATCTACTTTAATGTTTAGCTTTTGCTTTTACTTTCATTATTGTTGTCAACTAACGGCCAAACCTTATTTTTATTATTAGTACTTTTCGAAACTACTTCGTAAGCCGTCAACGCAACAAACAAACAAAGTCTAGCACTTCGCTTCCACCGCACTATGTGTTTTCTTTTAAATTACGATGAGGCAGGACTTCCGTCAATCCAACATACAAAAATTTAGAAATTTTTTATCTTGCTTCATCTTAATAAACTAGATCTGACACCCGTGCCCCCTTTCAGCCTAACATCGCCCTGATTATTTTATATTTTATATAGTTCCTAAACTAACCTTGCAACTTCTAGACAACACAAATCACGTGATAATTCGGAGTTCCACACGGTATCATAGACCCACTTGCCTGCTATCTCTACTACTTAAGTTCTTTGAGGAAAAATACATGAAAGCGCAAAAACTAGGAATTTGAATTTCAATCAATTACACTACTTTCCTCCGATAAATTGAACATACGACCTTTGCAGTTAATGCTTTTACAATTAGATGGTTTGCAGAGCGCTTCCAAGCATTTTTCAAGACGGATAGACCCATGTCTTAAGCCAGTAGCACAATAATACAATTCACACACAGAGCAAACTAACTGACTGCAATGTGCTCATAGTTTATAATGCCATGATAATTACCGAAATATACTGCTTTAAACACAAAAGATACAGCTTATCAACCGAATGAAAAATGCAGCTCAGTAACATTTTGTTTCCTCTCATACACTTGCGAAATACTGAAGAGAGCAATAAACTTACATTTTACTTAATTTCACTCAAATAAACATGCATCATAGTTTCTGGTACACAATCGTTTTAGCATACAAACATAGTCTTTCCCATCCTCCAAAAAAACCTTAAAAAAACCCAGTTCTTTTGCTAAACCAGTCTTTCGAAATTATTAACAAGCAATTGGAATTCAAATTCCAATTAAAAGGAAAACCACGAATGAATTAATAGTATTGAGAGGAACGTGGAATGAGGACTGGGTTTTGCAATGGCATAATCAAAGCAATAAATTCCAAGAGAATTATTACTACCAAATACATCAAAATAGATACATGTCGACTTAAGGATATATTACGTCAGAAAAACAATACAATGCGCAAGCAGTTGAAATGTTTAGCACAT